CTTGATAAGTGCCGAAAAGCTGAAGCTCCCAGTCACCTGTGACTTGTCTATATGGCACTACAAGACAGTGAAAGGAGATAATCTGGAAAGGCAAGAAGGATAAATAGGTGAGGAAGACTACTTCTGCCCTGATGTTGAGGTAGGAATCCAAGGCAATGCCTTGAGAGTTAGCTGACGTGGAGCAAGCACTACCATGCAGAACTCCCACAGGCCAACTTGACAGGACTACCATTCCTCCATTTACAGACCAAACTGATTAAATCTGTGGCACAAGCAGAGGACTTCTTCCACTGCTTGCTCTGCTGGCCAGTGTGTATGACTAGCCACGGATGTGTACACAGGAGGAGAGTCCTGTTTCTCAAGATACACAAAAATAATACTGATCCATACAGTTGCTTACCATGCTTGTAGAAAGAACATTTGTGATCGCAGCACTGCCACACTCAAATGTTCTATTGCCCAAAGAAAGTTGTAGATATCAGATCCTGATCACACAGAGGAAATGCATCAGCATTTAATATTTTGCTATTCTTTTAGCATTCCCCAAGTCATGTAAGATTTCCCTGGGCCATGTTCCCTACTCACAAGGACTACACAAATCTAGTTTCAGCCCCAACACCATGACAGAGGACACAAAACGGCTTTGGACAACAGGGAGGAAAGAAAGCAAGATGGTGGCTTTTATCCTGTGGTCCCCCTCAGTCCTTTCTGTTTCCACAGCTTGAGTTAAAGGTCAGAGAGCATGACAGCGCAATGGTCTCAGGCCTCTAGTGGCACTGGGGATACTGGGTCTTTTTCAACCCTTGAAGTGGCAGGGATTGCCATAATGTCCATTGTGGATTGGATGCCAAAGCCTCATTTGTTCATCAAAAGCTACCAAAACTGCAAGTCTTCCCCACCGCACCCCTAAAGTCTGCAACATAGTTTTTTTTCTCAGTCAAGACAAAGATCTGTGTAGTATTCTTAAAATATAAGTGTTACATAAATAAAACTAAAAGAGGACCCCAAACCTGAACATGGTACAAAACAAGGATGTTGAGCCCTCTCTACTACATTTAATTCAGCAAGACTTCTGAATGGTGTGTGACAGTGACAGCCTCCTCTGAGAGGCTGGTTTGGATATACCACCACTGCTTTACTGGAGCTGAGGGAAATGGGCTGTCCCAGCAGTAGTGCCCCATCTATGCACGGTACCCTACTTCGTGATCCTGCGGCCCCTCAGGGTTTCTGGACACCTCTGCACTGCCCACTCACCACTCGACACCTTTCCCTATCAGGTTTTGCAGATCCCTTCTAGTGTTTGCCATCCTCTCAATTCACTGCCATGTCCTTACTTGGTGCCACCATCCATCCTCCAGCATAATGTCCTTCATGCTATAATGCCTTTCTTCTTCATCTCAGCAGTCTCTTGATGTTGGTCTGGATCCAGTAGCCAGCCTTCTCCACAGCTCTTTCAGGGCCTGTGCCTGCACCTGGCAATGTGGTCGCTCAGACATGGCCCATCTACATGCCTCCATAGATCTTCCCCACAAGATTCTTACAGCTTACAAGGCATCTCTGTACTCTGTAGGCTCCCTCAACATCTCCCTGATGAATTTTCAGCTGAGATGTGGGGGAGAAGGCTGCAGAACGGATTCAGCATCCCAAAGGCTCTCCAGCAGTCAGGGACACAGGGCAGACTGGCCCAGAGAGGGGATCCTCTGAAGGTCCTAACTGTTATTTAGGACAAACACAGGCCCTGTTCATAAGAAGGGTTCTCTGAGCTTATCCTCAGAAGACAAATGCCTCCCAGCTCCATGCCATGTAGAAGCCACTCAGGCTATAGGAAAAAGGAAACTTTTAATGATGCCAACTAGCGAGAAGCCGCTGCTAGCCCAGTCAGGCCCCCATGATGCAGAACATCAACCAATATCAAGAAGATCCACCCCCATGAGGGTTTTCAAGATGACTGTGCCACCAACAACATCCACAGTGGCACAGGACTTCACCTGACAGCACAACGCCTTTATATCCATCTCCAAACTGATATATCCATCTCCAGACTGATCTGTCCAAGCAATCAGACAACCAACCTACAAAAACCAACACAGGGCAGCTAACAGAGAAACCCCAGTATTACCATCTTCAAACCTGAGTGCAAAAATAAACTTGACTTGCCCATCTTTAGCACAGAGCAGCAAGTATATCTTAAAAACAAGCTACCCCACCCACCTGTAAAGAAGAAAGAAAAGTCACCAAAATAATACTCTGAATACAGGATTCTTCCCCTGAGAAAGAAATGAACAGCTCGTGATATGTAATAACATCCTTTAGTGCCTGTCATACAGAGAAACAACAGCTCTGGTAAGGGCACAGTAAAAACTGCTGCCACCATCACTCTGTGTCGTTGGAAAGGGCACCACCTATTGTCGAGTTACCTGATATGTTCCACCAGCAGACATAACATTTAATTATGCTTTAATAATCTGGGCTGAAAATTTCTGTTTGCCTCCAGCAACATTTTTACATTACCACACTTCAGTTGTCAGTCTTAAAGTTTAAATTATTTCCCTAAGTAAGGACAGAGAAAAATATTCCATTTCTTATATTTAAATAGGGAGAAAGAATCTCAGAAATCCCCAGAGTGCTGTTGAGGAGCTGGAAGCAGAGAGGAGCTCAGGGCTATTCCAGGACTCAGAGGAAATAAGCGCATGAACTGAGACAGAGGCTAGTGAATCAGGATGGACTGTTTTAGCAAGGGTAGGAGTTAAGCTGGGTCTTCACATTGAACGGCAGTCCTGTCTCCAGAAAGAAGGCAAGTCCACTAGCAGTACCTCCACTTTAAAACGTCACAACTTGAGAGACTAATCCCCAAGCTGGTCCTTGAATCACACTGCCAGAAGGAAGTCCTGTAAAGAAGGAGCACACAACCAATAAGGCATTCACCAATGGTGTGGTCTAGTTAACTGTGGCTCGGGATCAGCCATGTCAGATCTAAAACAAGATCTGCCAAGCTTTCTGTGTTCCCAAAACCTGCTTTCCCTGCTCTGTTGAACAGCTTGTGTGTTAGGGCTTTGCTGTGGAAATGCACAAGGCTGACTTGTTTCTGCAGCAATCCAAGCTACAAGGCAATTAAGTCATAGGAACAATTCTGCAGGAGTCAATTTGGGTCAAAGCCAGTTGTCCTTAAACTGAGCTAATAAAATAGGCTGCACTCTAGCCAGCACTTTGGTCTCAGGTGTCTTTCTGCACTTCCAGGACAACACAAAGGAATATCTGCATCTGACCAGAACAGAGCAGGCTTGGGAAAAGCCAGGCTTACTTAGCTCCGAATCCACAACAGTACAGAGTTGTGCTTCCTCAGGATCCAGCCTGTCACTGGCCCTGACCTAAAGGGTCTTGCTAAATCAGGTCTATCCAGAACACTTCCCTCCCCCAAACTCCCATGATTCCAGTGGTCATACTGGCCTCTCTCCCTGACGTACACCACTGCTCCACTCTCCCATAAGTAAGCTAGGCTGGAATAGAATATTTTCAGCTACTTCAGGCCAAAAAAAAAATCTGACACCATGATCCTCATTTTCAGTAATGTGAGCATTCAGCTCCCACTTGCAACACTGAAATTCAGGCCACAAATCTGTTCCTTTTTATGCCTGCAGATGGTTGCTTCATCTCCCTACAGATGGTATCCTGAAGCCAAGGCAAGTGGCTTTCATGAAGAACTCCAAGGCTACTATTTGACAAAATCTGATACAATCTGAAGCCTGATTTTCCAAGGAAAGATAGAACGCTATAATTGTGGCAAAAAATCTTTATTAAACTAGATTTTGTAAATTCCTTTTCACATTAGAAATTCCAAATGCAGATTACAAAATTATTTCAGTAAAAAATGAAAGTTAAAGTTAACAGCAAAATTACAACTTTATACAAATAAAAAAATCATTTTTTATTTTAATTTAAAAATAGAAATTTATATCTTCCAATATACTTACTGGTCCTAACAGCTTTTACAAGTGGTAGCTGCAGTACTAGGTCTTTTCACATGCATATTCACATATAGTCATTTAATCCTCTGCACAATTTATTTAGCTGAAATAGCATGAACAATTGGACTTTGGGGGGGAGGTACCACATGATATTAAAAGCAAAAGCCAAAGTATCTTGAAATATTTTTTAAAATAACATTTTTGCCCTACTACTTTCACAATCAACTGAAATGTTTTTCAACAGTCACGTTACTTCAGACAACTTTCTGCATTGCACCTCTGGGTCTTTTCTTTTTTTACTGTAAGATCACCCATCAATGTTAGCACAAGCATTAATTTTGTACAATAAAAACAGGATAATTTTCCTAAATTAAAATTTGGGATAACTATTAAAATGTTTTGTAAAAAAGACACCAAAAGTCATATATTAAAGTCATCACGATCACATGCTGCTGAAGAACAGAATAAAAAGTGGTACACAAAATAGGTATTTTAAAAGTCACACATTATTTTAGAGTGCTGGTGGCAATACTGCTGTTTTAATTAAAAGTGTAAGATGATACAGAATTTACATGATACTTCAGGATTCTCACTGATGTAACTGTAAAAGACATCAGAAAGGCTGGAACTTCTAAAATATAACCTACTTTAAAATACCATTTGGAAACAATTATATTTCATAGAATTCGTCACAGAATACATTATAAAACCAGTCAGAGAATACAAGATCTCCAGTGTTGTGTTTCTGGAATACTGGTAAGTAGCTGAAGGCATGAAGATCCTTACTGATAAAACTCTACTTACTAACTCACTGTGCACTGAACTCCTGCTCCATTCTGCATCAAGCTCAGCACAGTTTTTAATCACATGCTTGAGATCCTAAAAAAGAAAAAGCTTGAGCTCATCATATTTTCTCTGAGTTGGAACTGCAGTGCCTCATCTTGAATTGCTGAAGCTGGCAGAGGCTCTGTCACTATTTTCAATAGAGGCAAGATTGGTTCTACCCATGTTACAATTTTAAACCATCATCTTCCATCAGAGTTCAGCTGGTAGTCAAACAACTTATACTAGGTGAATGATCAGCCTATAACCAGACAGGGTTTAGTAAGTAGAGTACTCTAGCGAACTTCAACCTGTACCCAAAAGGGCAATTAAAAGAGGAAGAGAGAAAACTACCCCAAACTGCTCTTAAGCTGTGAATTTCTCTGCTGACTTTTGACAGACTGAAAAAAAAATTCTCCAAGCAATGGGTGGAGCAATGGAGGCTTTGCCCTGAACATTTTAAACATATTTATCCAAATAGGACTAAGAGATGGAAAAATAATATGGAAGGACACTGAAGCTCAGCGGGGACAGCTGCTTTTCTGAAGAGTCCTGGCCTACTTCCAGAGATTGTTTATGCACTTTTAATTCTTCAACCTCATTTGTCCCCTTGATCTTGCACTCTTAGCTTGCAGTGGCGATTTTGAAAGAGGCTCAGGAAGTGGCAACTTCAAAAATAGTCCCGAGCACATTGGTCAGAGCATTTTCTGGGGAAGTGAGAGTCAAGTGCCACCATTATCATCCACTTGTGAAGCCAGAAGGCAAAAAGCTGAGTGTTTCTTATCTCCAGGGTAAAGTTGTCAACTAGATTATGATGAACAGATGGACAAGACAACAACTCTTTCTGTTCATCTTTCAAAATAAAATCTAAGCTGTCTTTGTTCATGTCGGGAATGGTATGAATATGCTTGAATGAATCAGGCTCCCTCCCAAAAAAACCAGAAGTGTTGGTACTTTCCTGTTTACAAGCACATCACTGTAGGGCTTGGGCATCCAGAAGCTCAACATGCAACAGCCACTCAGGCCAATCAACAGGGTTGGTACTTCAAAGAGCTGTCCCAGAGAGTTGTACCTTAATTTGTTATAAACAGTAGCACTAAGGACAACCTGTTCAGGAGCACAAGGGACAGCTCTTGGTAAAAAACAAAAATCCTAGCTCTGCTGGGACAAGACAGCTGATAGTCTGAACTGTTGTCTTGAGGCCAACTGCCTAAATGGCACCTCAGTCCATTTTAGGCACTGTCACAGAGGATGAAGTGTGGGCTTCACCACACAGGACATCGTGCAGTGGCAGTGCTCTGCTAGTGCTGTTTGGGGAACACAGGTCTTTTGAATTTCACCACTGGTTATCAGAGCAGGCCCGAGAGAAAGAAACAGAGAAAGGACACAATTCAGATGAACTAAGTACCCACAAAAAATATAAAACTTATTATGGTAGTCTATTATTTTAGAAAGAGTCCCTTTGATTAAGTATTATTCAAGCTACTCTTCCACTTGAAATTACCGTGAAAACACTATTATATCTGTTGAAGCATGACAAACTCATTTTTAAGTCTACTGTGCATTACATTCACTGTGTATGTATCACAGTAAACATGGGTATTCAGGAAACACCATGTCTTTCAGCTTGTCAGCAACTTATACAGACACATTTTCAAGTGAAATCCATTTCCGTGGACAGCTTTTCTCACACAAGTTCCTTGCTTATTAGTACCCATGCACACAAATGGCAGAACTTGCACACACATATGGATTCATACACAAACTCTTATGTGCATGTAGGTCCTGCAAAAGTGGTTAAAAACTTTAAAAACACTCCCATTAATCTTTAACCTATTAATATTATTCCTAATACAAAACTCAGACCTGTTCTGAAAAAGCCTTAAAACAAAATTCATATTTTAAGAATATGAATATTTCAAGAGGCAAAGAAGTAAATAAAAGTAGTAATGCATTCTAGAAGATATTTCTATTTTAAAAAGTGTTCTGATTGTCTACTGGAAACACTTGTCAAAGTACAGATGTTTATATTTCATTGTGGAGAGGTTTTGTTTGCAGTTTTTCTATGTTGTTTTGGATTTTTTTTTTACATAGGTATTTCTAGATGCTTATGCCACACCACCAAAATCAGAACTTTTGTACTCCCAGACTTTCCAGTTAGGCAATTACCAGTGCAGTATTAGCATTCACTTTGATGTTAAAAATACATTTAAAATGTTTCACAATCATATTTTCTAAAAGGAAACCAAACTTAATACACAGAGAATGAAGACATCACTATTAGACACTTATTAAGTGAAAGAGTACTCAATGTGGTTCACTTAAAAAGCCATAAAATAAGAAACACTTTTAATCCAGTAGATGGTAAGGGCAAAAATGTAAGGGCATTTCCTGCAAAATTACAGTATTAGCCATGTGTAAGAAGAGGCTGAACTACAGCATTGTGGGTTTCCCTTTAACACACCACATTAAGTCTGCAAAATTACCAAACACAGAGCTGGTCTTAATGCACAGGCCATTATACGCAACTTCCAGACTTGAGAGAAGTTTAGAATGGAATAAAGACAACAGAACTGGTCAACCCATCACAACATAACCACTAAAGCAGACTTTTGAAGAAACCTGGAAATATTTAGCACTCAGCTGTAACTGTATTTGAAATATCAGTAGTTGCCCAGTTTCACCCTCTCCTTTTGTTCTTCTGAAGGGTTTAGCACAAAGTTCTGAATCACAAAGTAACTTTGTACAAGGTACTATGTTTTAAAAGCACAGATGTCATGGCAATCAAAATGTGTGACGGTCAAAAGAAATAGATTAGGTATGCTGAGAAGACAGTTATATTTAAAAATCGTACCTTAACTTCCCTTTAAGACATCACGTATTTCTCAGCAAAATTCTTGATCTGCATTTCTGAGACTTCAAATCCTTTAAGTATCTTCTTTTTTTGCAGGTTCAAAAAAGGATCCATTTCACAAAAAAATTTTATTGGAAACATTATGACAAAACCACTTAGTGTAAATTGAAGTAATTTCTAATAAAATATCATCCTTTAAAACAGATTACAAAATACTGGTACAGTTGTTCAAAACATCGGTCTTTTTTCTATAATCTGGATGTAATCCAACACCTCAGTTTCTATATTCCTCTTCTCCACAACTCCTCAAATGAGCATGACTTTCAGGCAACCTGGTTTTATTTCTGTGAACCTATAAAACAAGAAAAAATGAATCTTCACCATGAAAGCTATGTGCAATGCCATCTCCTTCAATCTTCAAACATATGGAAAGTGGTAAGGTTCTCAGTCAAGTACATGTGCATGTGAGTCAAGAAATCAGCACTATGTCCTCAAATGTGACAGTAAAGGAGGATTTTACAGAATCTGGACATGCAAAGAGCTGGAAATAGCAGAAACGAAGATAAAAATTTAAGAAAAAGCTGCCCAGTATCCTTGGTTATTATATTCATTCTGCTCCTCTATTCCTGCTCCCCATTCACTCCCTCTTCTTTAAAAATGGATTTTAACCCTTCTATTCTGTAGAAGGTAAGAAGGAAATGGGGACAGAAGTCTATGTTATTTTTGAGTCACCTTCACAAAGTGCTCTAGAGAAAAAGCAGCAAACACACTGATGCTGGCCCAGACTTGCTAAATTGCTATCCCCCATAAACTGAGCACTAAGGCAGGTATTGAGAACCAGTAAAAAGCAGGATTAACAAGTTTTCACAGTAAAGGCAGCAACCTTGAATGGAAATATGTAATTGAACTATCTCAGAGGAAAGGATCTAACATGTAATAGATGCCCTGTATAAAGTGCTATTGTGTCACGCAATTGCACTGGATTTGTGAAACAGCAAATTTACTTTAATCTGAAACAGCAGACCTGCCTTAATCTCTGTAGTCACTTAATAGTATTCTAAAACTAACTTCAATTTTCAGTTAGTTAAATGTGGGTTGAGAAAAAAAATGTATCAGTAACAAAAATCTAAACTCACCTGAAGTTGTGGGTTGTGAGGTATCTGATAGCTGCTGGTCTGATGCGAGCAACTCCTCCCTGACTATGGCTTCCTCTTCCCGTGATAACAGTGAGATATGGTTTACCACCAGTCTGCTGGTGCTCTGTAACAGCAGGAATTGTAACAGTTAAAATTTTCCCTCAGCAGAGAGTTAGCATTTAGTATATACCTTCAATGCATTCTTCTGAAAACTCTCACTATTGATTCAGAACCTTGCTTTGCCATGCTGGCTATGCATGTTTTATGTAAAAATAGCCATTTTCCCCCTGTTCTAAAAAAGATACTCTGAAAAACAAACATAGTCAAGCTTTTTAAATCTAGATTGCTTGCAATATGCATGTTGTGATCATCACAAAATCCTTCTAATTTCATAGCAGCTTTACTGTTTCTGTCATCTAATACTAAATTGGAATTTAAATCCTGTGACATAAATTTAAATTGCAAAATTAAAAGAGGTGAGTGTAATTTACTCAATTTTTAAGTGACACTACTGTTTCATATTGTATCTTAAATTAATATGAATAAAGAAATAACATTTTATTGAATAAAGAAATTAGAAAGAAAGAAAATATAAATCCAGCATTTTTGACATTTAAGTCACACTTATTTGGATTATTTTCTGCTATGCTGGAGCATGATCAACAGATCAAAACATTCCATGAGCTGTATCTAGCCCTGATAACAAAAGAAATTGCTCTCTTCCCAGAGATAACTTCTGAACCTCAACTGATGAAGAGTTTGAAAAAGAGGAAAAAAATATATTAAACTGGATTCTCAAAACGAGCCAAGATTTGCCAGTTTGGAATTATCAGTTCTCATGACATCTTTCCTCAACTACTCCCTCTCTCTCTCTCTCTCTCTCTCGCATAACTTTATTTAGGTTTTATATCAGTTTACTGCCAGCAAAAAGTTCCCAGTATTGACCTCTTTCCCATGTCCATACACTGAAATTAACTTTTTTTTTTAGATTTAGGTGAATGGACTGCACAGAGAGCCACTACTATCAATTCCAGGACTCGTGATGTAAATGCAGTTCTGGAAATTTAGCTCTAAAAAGCATTAGGTTACAGTTTAAATTACACAAATATCATTGCAAGAATAGCACAACATAATGCAATTTATTGCATATTGAAAGAAAAGGATTATCTAATGCCCCACTGAACACTTTTGTTTATACTCTGTGGAGTGGCAGATTCAAAAAATCAGGTTTGTGCAGTAGTATCTCGTGTAAGAAATATTTCTTTTAAAAGCATTCCCAGTGTGCTTAAATTTATAGGGTAAACTAGCAATGCAGAAAACGTATCTTTTTACAGCAAGTACACTCAGTACTTGAACATTCCACTGGAAGAAAAAAAATGAGCCCTCAAGCAAAATTGCAGAAAATGACAGGTCTGGAAGCAGCAGTATTCTGATCTCAAGAGATCCTGCTGACAAACTGATAGAGAAGTTTCTGAAAGATGGCTCAAATCACACACTTTCATGTAAAAGTTGAAGTCAATATAATCATTGTGGTTAGAATTCCAACATAATAATTTTTCTTTAAAGATTAAGAAAGCAACATAGTCCTGACAAAGTAATGCAAAGATGACACAAATGTTTGCATTATCACCTTGGTCAAAAATGTCAAGAAGGACAGACCATACAAAAAAAAAAAAAAAAAAAAAAGATAAAACAGAAGAAAGATTTTCAAAGAAGTACGGGGGTTTGGGAGTAGGGTG